ATGGCTTCAAACTCGGTCATTATGCAGTTAAGGCATTGGAGATTAAAAGTTATCAAAGGTTTTCGTTTTTGAGCATGTTTAAGGGGTCCCCAGGGGCCCCAAAGTTAGGCTACTTTTGAAGAATTTCAAAGTTGAATAACTTTTACAAAAAAAATTCAAATCAAACCAAGTTTGGCAGTAAGGAGCCCCTTTGGGTGCTTGACCATACTGGATGGTCAAATGATGACATCATCTAAGCCCCGCCCCCTAAGGGAAGAAAGTTACTTTTTTCACTTGGGAGGGTCCCTTTCACTCATTTTAAACACCAGCACCTTGAAACTTTGTCAGATGATAGAAAACATGTTGGTCTAACTTCGTTTAAAGCACAGAGAGTCTGAGTTAAATGGTGTTGCCGTGGCGCCATGGCGAAGTGAGGCGTTTCGCCATGAAAATACGATTGGCTCTCATTTCCTCATTATTAATCAGATCTGCACCAAAATCACAAGAGATGATCCTAGTCCAACTCCAAACAGGAATCCAGAGCAATATTTTGTGGGCGGGGCTTAATTACACTACAGCGCCCCCTAGAAATAACAAACTTCAAACCACCAGCCCCAAGCCGTTTTTAGTCCTAGAATATTGAAACTTTGAACACATTTGCATCTCATCAGGCCCTAACTAAAAGCCTCTTGAAGCCATGGTCTAAACCCCACCGGAAGTCGGCCATTTTGAATTACAATTTACTCTCTTGTGAAAGCACTGACCTTTTTTCAAAAAATTGTATAAAATCAGCCTTTTATCCAAATGAGCTAAAACTTTCAAAATACGTTCTTTACAAAGCCTGCTGTAAGCTGGTTACAATAGCAAAGCGCTTCTTTAAAGTCCGTCACTCTGATTTTTCAAAAGTTTGCGTTCTCGCCTAATAGTTGGTCAAGTGGACAGATAATGCCAGGAAATAATTCAGCCCCTAGCCATGCTCGTTCCTAGGATAATGAAACTTGGCACACATCTGTATGAGCTCTCCACCTACAAAAAGTTTCATTGGAGCCATGGTCTAAACCTCTCATGAAGTCAGCCATTTTGAATCAAACGGCACCCTTATGAAAATAGAATCACTATGTTAAAATATTTCTAAAAAATCAGTCGTTTTCCCAAAAGAGCTAGGACTTTTGGAATATATTCCTCTAATCGCTACTTGTTTGATGGTAAACACAGCATAGCTCTTCTTAAAAGTCCGTCACTCTGATTTTTCAAAAGTTTGTGTTAACAGGAAATTGTTGTATCTCAAAAAGTTTTATAGCAATCCTAGCCAAATTTGGAACAGTTATTTATCCTTTGATTATAGAAAAGACTGCCAAGTTTGGCGTGAATCTATGCATGTTTGAGCATCTTATGGGGTTTTCAACTGCCGCAGTATATGGCATTCAAGTTTAAAGATTTTTCTTTCTTTAAATTATTTAATAAATCATCTAAAAAAAATCTAGGACATGCAAGATGTGTTCCTTGACATTTGTGATTTTTTTCGGGATTTTATTGCAAACTATGGATTTTTAATGATTTTTTTTTGTTTTGAGTAGAGTCGGCCATTTTGAATTACATTTTACCCTGTTGTGAAATCACGGACCTCTTTTCAAAAAATTGTATAAAATCAGTCTTTTATCCAAATGAGCTAATACTTTCAAAATACGTTCTTTCCAAAGCCTGCTGTAAGCTGGTTACAATAGCAAAGCGCTTCTTTAAAGTCTGTCACTCAGATTTTTCAAAAGTTTGTGTTAACAGGAAATTGTTGTATCGCAAAAAGTTTTATAGCAATCCTAGCCAAATTTGGAACAGTTATTTATCCTTTGATTATAGAAAAGACTGCCAAGTTTGGCGTACATCTATGCATGTTTGAGCATCTTATGAGGTTTTCAACTGCCGCAGTATAAGGCATTCACGTTTAAAGATTTTTCTTTCTTTAAATCATTTAATAAATCATCTAAAAAAAATCTAGGACATGCAAGATGTGTTCCTTGACATTTGTGATTTTTTTCGGGATTTTATTGCAAACTATGGATTTTTAATGATTTTTTTTTGTTTTGAGTAGGGTGTATTACCGCTAACCGATTTTGGCTGTGCTGTTACTCCATCTTTTGAACATATACTTTTGACCCACCACCTGAGATGGCCGCAGCATCAATGTCACAGATGAGATTCATCCCAGATATTATATTTTATCCCTAGTTTAACCCTTCCTGACCAAAGCTGTGGTTTTCTCCGGCTGGTCCAGAGGTGAAGCATGGCGCCCCTTCAGCTGTTGAGCTACAAACTTCTAAGTTGCTGTGCCAAGTCTTAAAACAGAAAGGATCAAAAGTTATCAGAAGATTTTTGCTGTGAGAAAGCATCAAAATCAGACTTCTCACCATAACAGTATGACAAAACTGCCCCAGGCCATGCTTTTATCGAGGATTATTAAACTTGGTACACATGTACAACCCAACAAACATTAACAAAAAAGTAAATAGGAGCCATGATCCAAACCATACAAGGAGTCAGCCACTTTGGATCAAACATACCATTTTCTGTATCATCAGATCAGCTGTGTTAAGGTAGAGAAAACGTCTAAATCCTGCAGGACTGGCCCTTTGAGTATTGACTTTGGGGATGACTGCTATATATGGGCCACGTGTTTTGAATTAAAAATTTATCACAATAATATTTCCAAATAAATGCATGTGGGCTTTGTTGAGCATCAACTTTGTCATTTGACAGCAAACAAAAGCAAAGCAAAAAGCCATGTTTTGACTGAAAGTTATGACATTTTGAAAACATATGTAACCCATAAAAACCTACAAAAAAGCTTATTGGAGTGCTGGTCCAAAGCCAACATGAGGATGGCCATTTTGCTTAAAAAATTATATTTTCTCCATTTCATTTGAAATAAATTCAATTAATTTAATAGAGAGCAAACTCACAACAAAACAATTACATTTTCTATGTAAGGAAACCAGGAGGTAGGATAAACTTGCTGATTGGAAAGCATTCTCTCACACCAAGCATGCTTGTAGCAAGAGTGGAGAGGAAAACTCTGTTTTAACAGAAAGAAACCTCATGCAGATCCAGACTCTGTATGAGTTGTCATCTGCAGAGGCTGACTGGGTTCAAGGAGAAAGCAGCATACATAGACAAAGTAACATAGATACAAAAGACAACAGGCAGACAAGCACCGAGCCAGCTCCAATGATAGAGGATGAAAAGAGAACATCCAGCCAGTCACAGTCAGAGAAACAAGACTACACTGGAAAACAGTACAATCTTCAGACAACACTGTTGATAGCAGCAGCACATCTGATGTTTCTCTCCAGGATGGAGTCACAGCCAAACAGGAGCAGACGAGGCAAAGCTACTCTAAAAAATAAGAGAAATCAGAACATTAGAGATATAACTAACAGATTCTGTAGAATATAAGAATAGAGAGAGAATGAAATAAAATGATAAAATGGGGGTCCCTATGTCCTCCAGAAGTCCAAACCTAGAGCAGCATAACTATAGAGATACCTCAGGATAACCTGATCCACTCTAACTAGAAGCTTTATCAAAAAGAGAAGTTTTAAGCCTACCCATAAAAGTAGACAGGGTGAAATAGCCAATCTAATCAATGTAGACATGCCTACAAAAATGTTCTACATGTAAATAAACCATAGAAAAGGAATATTACCCTTTTTAAAACAACTTATTAGTGATGGTTTAGAGCTCTGCTCCAGCTTACCTTCTGATCTCCATCCTTCAACAATCTATATTCTATAGATATTTCAAAATAACTTTTAAATTATAAAGTAGGAGTGATAGGTTAATGAGGCATCTTTTATAGTATGTCGACATATTGCCAAACTATACATTTTTAAAACCTTAAAAAATAATGTAAACATATATCATAACATGAAAACTTAGGAGGAAATGTAAATGAGGATGCTTGTTTTAGATTTATAATTTAGAGCTTAAAAGCTTACATTGCATGTGGTGACATCACTTTAAAACCCACCAAATAAAATGACTGCAACATTTTTTTGTCCCTAGTTTAACCCTTCCTGACCAAAGCTGTGGTTGTCTCAGCAGGTCCAGAGGTAAAGCGTGGAACCCATTTTGCTGGGTTGGGAGGAGCGAGAAGGCGGCGGTCGCTTGGTTCCCGCGGTCGCAACATACCAGGCGGTGCGAGCTGCGAGGGCCGCCCAATGCCACTTGTGGCTTTAATTTCTACTGTTTTTGGAATTGGCAAAGAGTCTAGCACAAAGATAAGAGAGAGATCTTTTAAGTTTTCCTGCCCTAATTATACAGTTTTGGCTCCATCAAATTTTAAATGCAGTGCAAGCTCTCTGCATGGTGTCAAATAATTTAATTTAGAGAACGTTGTAACGCCTCTGCTTTGTTAATGCTTTATGTAACAGAAGGCTTTTTAAAGTTAGAGTTGTCATTGAAACAATAAGTCACTTTTAGATTAAAAGAAAAGGTTTGTGAAATCAGTTTTCATGCTGAAAAATGTCAAACACTTGCAGTGTCGATGCTTCAACAAGCCTGAAGCTTTGAGTGTTTCTGTTAATGACAGCAGGAAAGAGATCAAGATTTATTGTTGGATTACAAATGAAGCAGCAGAAAGTTTGAATCGTCTTGGGATCACAGAGGGGTAATTATCAGCTTATATCCTGCCTCAGCTGAATGGACACTTCAGATGCCTGTATGCACACACAGCATGCTGATCAGCCTTCTTTTCTTCCAGCTTTTCTTTACCTCAGAAACACGTAGCATCTCTGGAGAATCTCCACTAGTCTTGCAATACATCTGTCATTTTCATGCTAACGTGCAGAGATAGCTGACGGCTCCAGAGGGATGACATGTCGGTGTATGAGAAATGTCAGGATAACCGAACGCCCCTAACAATGCCCCCCTCCTGCAGCCAGAGACCTCAAAAGGCTAATTAATCAACTGAGGATGTCAGATCTGGTGGTTGAATCTGTTTATATGTGAACAAAGACTCCAACCTGCTTTACCTGAATATTCACCACAACTTCCCTCAAATAGAAGTTTTGGAAATAGATTATTTATTTATCTGTTAGTTACTTAGGGGGATTTTTTTGGATGGGAAGTCATCTTTCAATCCTGAAGTTGTGGGTTTGATTCCAGCTTTCTCCTTCCTCCAGCTGCTACCATTCTGCTATCAGAATATGCGTTTGTGTTGCTCTATGATTGGGAGGTTTTAGTGTAGACGTCTGGGAGTGGTTGGACTGACTAGAAAAGTGCCAAACAAGTTTAATCTATTTATCATGTATTAATTCATTTATTCAGTCATGCATTTATTCTCCCTATTTAGTTTCGCCCTTTTAGTTTTTAAATGAGATTTAACTTTTATGCAGAGCTGCATCAATAACACACTCAGCATCATTTTACTGTAGAGGTTTTTTTTTTCCCGTCACTCCAGCACATTAGGAAGCTTTGAGAACATATTAAATGTTTTATGTATGTTATACAATTTTACTGGTTTGATTATGAATTAAATAATGACTATAACCAGAGATTATGGTTAATTAATTTAGTGTTCCATTCAAGGATAAACAATAATATGAATGTTGGTCAAATGATTTCAGCTAACAATTTGCTCAATCACCAGGTGTTCTTAACTTGCTCACCTGTGAGGCTAAATATCTATAGCCTGACGTAGTCCTACTCAATTCTAGTCAGAATATGAGTCTGATACTGCTCCATAGAGCTGTGATTATGGGGCGTGTTTTGAACGAACCAGGAAAAAAAATGCCTCTGCACTCAATTGGACAGACCTACAACCAATAAAAAAAACGGAGTGCGTGACGTATGTTAAGCGATGCATAGTTGTTGTCAACAAAAATCAAAGCGTGCAGTTGCACGCCTAGAATAAGAAGATGAGCCTTGATCGCGTTTCTCTGTTCCTCTTTTAAAATTAAATTGCTGTCGATATCTTCTAGAACAGACCTAATAGCAGAATCTACTCACCCCAACTCTCCGGCGGCAGCCATTGTTGTTGTCACCCAAGCGCGCTTTGGTCACATGGTTGATTACGTTACTGTTGATCATCTGTCCATCATCGTATAAAGCCCGCCCTGACAATTTGATTGGATCGCCTGAGAGTGGGCGATAATACTCGCGCTACTATGGAGTAATGCCAGACCGAACTTCCCGACCTCAAAACTTGTGGGCGGGACTAAGTTTGGAATGGCACCCAGGCTACTAAATATCTGGACCGGCTGTTGAAATCCTCTTGGTTTGAATTAGGATTATATTTTCAAGCAGAATTATTAACCATTAACCAGAAGAAAAAACTATTGTCTTAGTCTATTCACGTTGTTAACTTACAAGAAGGTTTTTTGGTTGATCATCTTTAGGGTCTGTAAATTGGGATAGACTATCGAGATTTATATGGAAAACAACCAAGAATACGCTGCAATACATTATAGCTACCAAAAGTAAGATGAGGAATGGCAGTTCCAAATTAAAAATATATTAAATATATTATTTATTGGTGCGCTTTCTCAATTAAAAATTTCTGGAGTTTTTTTTGTGTAATGTGAATCCCTATTTTTGCCCCACAATGGGGAAATACACTCTGCATTTAACTCATCCCCTTGGGGAGCAGTGGGCTGCCATTGTGCAGCATCCGGGGAGCAGTGTAGGGTTAAGCAAAAGATGAGGATCAGGGATCGAACCGGGTATTTGAAACCTTTTCAGAGAACAAGCGCACTGCTCTAACCAGTAGGCCAACACTCCCCCCACTTTTTACACACTTTTGAGTTCCAGCCTTATAGATTGGCACCCTAATGATTCCCTTTTCAGAGGCATACGCCAGTGTCGTGTTACAAAAGCCAACAAAGACCTCAATGACTCCCCATTTGCTAAGGGATGGACCTTTTCTTTCAGTTTAATTTTCATGTTTTCTAAGCCATAAGAAGGCTTTTGTTAGGCTACTCTATAAAGCCTGGAACTCTAATTCAGACAGTTTGAATTGTGAAAGCTTCCTGGATGGGAAGCTAAATGTCTTCAAACTTGGAAAACAATGTCCAGGGATTTGTTTTTTAACTTTTTTTTTAAATTACCTGGATGACTGAGAATCTTCACCAGAGCTTGGCGTTCTAAAATGGATTTCTTATCATAATAAATTAAACCAGACCAATATGACTCCAAATTCAAACAGTAGAAAAAGAAGGATTAAACAGCCATATGTAAAATTATTAAAGTAAAATGAAAAGTTTTCAGGAACTTAAAGACATATGATCTAACAAACCAGGATCTATTCAAATACTTACAAATGCAAGATTATTATTAAAAATGTCTCAAGAATTTCCCTATATTTTCCAATAAGGCAGAAAGTTCTGAAATACTTGTGTTCAATCATTTTGGAAAACCTAAAACTTAAAAAATTTATTCAGCTTTTTTCACAGCTTTAATATACCAAGCAACCTTTAAGTAAAGGTGACTTAAGTGACTTTACATCCATTCATATGACGTCTATCTGACTGTACATTCCTTTTAAACAATAGAGCTTGAATCAGACCAAGAATAAAAACGTGTTTCCTGCTCTTTATATTTGCATAACGGGAGAAAAATATTGTCACCAGTTGATCAGAAACCTCGATCTACTGATATTTTTAAGCAGATACAGACCTTCGTTTGTGATCTAAAGATTAAAACTTAAATACTATACTTCTACATATTATGCAACCCTGGGACCCAGTTTCCCTGCAGGTCCCGCCCCTGCAAAAATATTTGTGTTGATCTGAATTTGAAGCTTTCTCCAGGTCCTCAACACACTATAAGTCCAATAGGGCTCCATAAAGAGAATAATAAACCATTTTTTAATGTTAGAATAACTTTAGAAACCACAAACAAGCTAAAAAAATATCACTGAGACAAAGATATTTGCATGAATTAACTAAAAATAGGGAAATGCTGATCATTTTTAAATGCCTTTCTTGTCTCCAGGTACCAGAATCAGTTCTTTCACTCAGGCGGATCTGGCATCACGCAGCATCCAGTATGTGCACACCAGTGAAGAAGAAAAACACGCCGACCAGTTCTCCTTTACTGTGTCCGACGGCACTAATGAGGTAAATAAGGAGAGAGGTGCTAGAGAAGAAATTTACAGAAAAACAAACAAACATTTATTTCCTCTTTTTTTTGTTTCTTATTTGGTGGGGATTTTTTTTATATATATACTTTAAGTATTATTTCATTAATGCCACTTTGGAAAGTCTGGACCTTTACTAATCAACCCAAAAAGCCTTATGGGTTTATTTTCTACATGCAGATGTTGAGTTGTTGGTGGGCTTTTGAGTATTCCATAAAGAAGTTTAAGTTTACAGTCACTGATTTCTCGCCATATTTCCGTAGAGATCATGGAGATACAGTAAGGTTCCTATCAACCAGGCCCTGAAGCAACAAAGAACATCACCGTGTTTGACTTTTTGATCTTTTTATGACCTCATGTGTCAATTTAAAGGAGAAGTAACGAGAAGCACGCCAGAAAAAAACTCAAACTTCCATCTCCTCAGTCCAAAGAATATTTTACACAAAGTTTTGGGATATGAGATATAGAAATAACTCGGGTGACATTTGAAGTTGAACCATATAGATTAGGATTTGGTTAAATTAGGAGCTTACAGTTAAATTTGTTAAATATTTAATAATTTGTTGTGTTGTTTTTTTTAAGCTGTCTTAAAGTTAGTGATACTTGCTGGTGGAATTCAATAATATTTATTGGGTTGATACTGAAAGTATCTGTACAGCCCTGTCGGTTCAGTACGCATGTTTACTAAATGAATACGGCCTTGTTCTGTGCCTGAACACATTCAGAATGTTTAGCTGGGAACTAAACGTACCGTACACGGTTCCCCAGGGGATGTTAAAAAAGTGAAGCCAAAACGCAGAGAACTCCAAGCTTTCACTAACTTCTGCTGTTTCTGTTGCATTCAAATACATCTGGGAAACCAGGGTTGTAAAATATCAAAATGGTCTCAAAGTGATTTTAAACACTTTTTATTCTAAGATTTGGAAACAGTCTTTTTTTTTCAATGTCTCATTATCATGACTGGGTTTCTTATTGCATTTTTTATATAATTTATCCAAGCGTTGTATAAGAATTACTATGCTCATTAAATAAATCCAACCACATCTCCATTCATCTAATAACCTTGCAGTTTTAGAACATTATAAAGTAAAATAAAAAATCATGTATTTGAAATATTCTTTTTGATTCTGACTAAAGTAAAAAAAACAACAACAAAAAAACCACTTTATTTTATTTTTTTGATCCAACCATATGAAAAAATGCTACAAATAACAAATACTAAAAACAAATATTTGAACCTGGAAAGTCACTGAAGTGGGATTTTTGTATACATCTAGACACTTAATGTGTATAGACTAGGGTGACCATATTTTCATTTGGGAAAGCCAGGACACCTGGGGGGGGGGGGGGGGGGGGGGGGGTTTCTCTGTTCCCATGCATAGAGATGTCTGTGGCATGCACTCACTTAACGTAGGCCTACGTAATCCTACAATAACATTATATTTACAGTTGATTTATTAAATATGCTTTTCAGTAAAAGTCAACAGCAATAACTCCAATAACAAACAATAATTTTATTCAAAATGTATTTACTAAAAATGCTTAACAATTCCTGTAATGAATAAATAGCACAATAAAAGAAATAATGTCTCATCATCGGGATTTGCTCCGTGATCAGAGGAAATGTTACTTGGCCCCGAACAGTGGTGAAAATTGGAAGTTCAGTTTAATATAATACAACTCTGTGAATAGTTCCGTCTGAAATGAATGAAAATAGTTGTTTTAAAGGTTATTGTCTAGTTATTTTGGGGTTTGTCTGCCTGAACTCGACCAGGCTTGGCACAGAGGACGCAGGAAACAACTCAGATCAACTTAGTCATTTCTTTTATTTGACTTTTGTCATTTTCTGTTGAATCATAAGCAGGTTGATAACCTCAACAAAGAAAAGAAAACAAAACAGATATTAGTTCCACCATGAACCATAGTCACACATGCAAACATGTATAGTTCTCTATATTAGACTTAGTATAATACAGATTAAATTAAATTAAACATTCCTTCTCTCATTTTTTTTCTCTCGTTTTCTCATCTAATTTCTTAAACTAAACATTCTGATCGGTATCCTCAATCTCATTTCATGATTTACTAGAACAAAAGTGGAAAAATGAAGTAGAATACATACCAGTAGCGTCTCTGTGCTCCACTGACTCAACCACACCCAGGGCAAACAAACAAAAGGCCCATCAGGTGCTCAACCAAGGCTAATCAACCTAGAGCTTCTTGCTCTCTACTCTCTCTCTGAACACCATGTGAACACTTAGGCTCTCTACTGCCCTCTGACACACTCCATGCACAAAGTAGACATCATCACATCCCAGAGTGAAAAATATTAAAAGAAAAAGATGAAAAATAAACAGCATACAGCACATAACCCAACACCTCCCACTTGAGCTCCTGGTTAATGAACCCAAGGAGGTCACACTATTGTCTCTTAATGTTGCTCCTCAATAGGAAGCAGAACCACCAGGCGTCTGACATCCCTGTGAACGATGGTGGAGGGGATTCTGGATGAGAGTTTATCTGTGTTTTTCCTTTGCTTGTGCAGTGTCCCTCCTTTACTCATTGGAACAGGGTAGCTTGGAAAAGTCCTCACATTCACATCCCTCACGACTCCTCTTTGGTCAGGATTTACACTGACAACTCTGCCAAGCTTGTATCGGCCTCTTAAAGCGTTTTGATCCGCCAGCCACACAACATCTCCCACTGTGACATTCCGCTGCTTTGTGTGCCATTTGCTTCTGATGAACAGGTTGGGACCAGCCAGCTCACACCACTTTCTCCAGAATCTGCTGACTTCTTGCTGGATACTTTGGAGTCTTTTATACGAGTAGCCTTCAAACTGAAAATCTCCTGGATCTCCCTTTGGGCTGGCCCGACCAAGTAAGAGGGAGTTTGGGCTGACATACTCCACATGGTCTTCACGACTTTGAACTCTGGCAGCTATGGGCTGTTCATTTACCAAATTTGCTGCCATGAAGAGAAATGTCTGGAACTCTCCCCATGTAAAGACTCCATCACCACCAAGGTTATTTAAGGCTCTTTTGACTAACCGGACTGCTGCTTCTGCTGCTCCGTTTCTGTGGGGGGAGTCCGCTGGGTGGATCTTCCACGACCATTCTGTTCCATTCCCTGCAGCTTTAACCTCAAGCTCAGCTTTGTTCAGTTTATTTAGGAAACTTTGGAGCTCCTTCAGTGCAGGTTTGGCCCCCACAAAATTTGTCCCAGCGTCAGACCACAGCTTCCTTGGGTGCCCTCTGAGGGATGTGAATATCTGATAAGCCAAGAGAAACCCTTCTGATGACTGGTCACTGACAACATCGGTGTGAACAGCTCTTGAAGCCATGCAGCAGAATACGATCCCCCAGATTTTTAGTTTAGTCCTCTTCTTTATCTCGTCTCTGACCTCATATGGTCCAAACAAATCAACACTCGTAAATTCAAATGGATTTGAGGAGCTCACTCTTTCTGGTGGCAGTTCACTCATAACTTGCTGACATTGCTTGGCTTTGAGCTTCCTGCAGATGACACAACTGTCAACCACTTTCTTTGCAAGTCTTCGACCTTTAATCACCCAGGCCTTCTTTCTCATCCTGAAAAGTGTTCCTGCCACACCATCATGATTTGCATTGTGGGCCTCTCTTGCTATCAGCACAGATATCCACGCCTCATATGGTATTATTGGCACTGCAGATTTATCTTCAGTGAGTATCTGAACTCTACCTCCACAGACTAACAATCCAGATTCTTCATCTTTGTATACCACCAGTCTATTAAGAGCTGTAACTGGAAAGGTCCCACCTTCCTGAGCTTCAAGGAAGAGATGTCTAAGTGCATCTTCCTGCTCTCTCACTGTTAGCATAGGTAATTCATCTTTCAGTTGTCCTCTGCCTTCCACTTTAATTTTCAGCCACTTCTTAGCAGCTCGCTGGACCCAGGCAACAACATTTACTAACTTGTCCAGGTGACTGAATCTCCTAACCTCCACCAGACTCTTCAGCTGAGAGTCAGAGGGTGTCTTTTTTGGGCCAATTGTGGGATTTGTTTTGGTTTTGTTTGCCCTGGGTGTGGTTGAGTCAGTGGAGCACAGAGACACTACTGGTTATCAACTGTCGAGTTATTTTGGGGTTTGTCTGCCTGAACTCGACCAGGCTTGGCACAGAGGATGCAGGAAACAACTCAGATCAACTTAGTCATTTCTTTTATTTGACTTTTGTCATTTTCTGTTGAATCATAAGCAGGTTGATAACCTCAACAAAGAAAAGAAAACAAAACAGATATTAGTTCCACCATGAACCATAGTCACACATGCAAACAGGTATAGTTCTCTATATTAGACTTAGTATAATACAGATTAAATTAAATTAAACATTCCTTCTCTCATTTATTTTCTCTCATTTTCTCATCTAATTTCTTAAATTAAACATTCTGATCAGTATCATCAATCTCATTTCATGATTTACTAGAACATAAGTGGGAAAATGAGGTAGAATACATACCAGTAGCGTCTCTGTGCTCCACTGACTCAACCACACCCAGGGCAAACAAACAAAAGGCCCGTCAGGTGCTCAACCAAGGCTAATCAACCTAGAGCTTCTTGCTCTCTACTCTCTCTCTGAACACCATGTGAACACTTAGGCTCTCTACTGCCCTCTGACACACTCCATGCACAAAGTAGACATCATCACATCCCAGAGTGAAAAATATTAAAAGAAAAAGATGAAAAATAAACAGCATACAGCACATAACCCAACAGTTATTGAGTCAGATATGTGGCGGTAATGTTTGATTTATCTAAAGGTTTTAATCTGTTACTGTGTAAATGGGTTTGGCTGGAATTTAAGAACAGATTCTAATACATCTGCAGAGTGGGGACTATAAATCTGATAGGAGTTAAATTTTTTATTGCTGTTTTGCACAATATGCTTAACTAAGTATTTTTTGATTTTGAATATTAGAGATTTTGCAAATATATTTTGTACATACATTGTTTAGATTTACTTATATATTTCTAACCCTTTTATGGAATAGAAAATCCCTTTATTGTCCCACAATGGGCAAATTTACAGCAGCAGAAAGATTATTAAAAATTGTCACACAAATGTGGACCTTAGAAAAATGTCTAAGAATAACATAATAGGGAAGAGTTAAAATATAAACAATACAATCCTATAAAGTGTTTTAACAATATAAAACTGGAGAATTAATAATCAATATGCAGCTATGGACATTTTTACAGTAATTTGAAAATAGCAGCAACATCAGAGATGTGCAGAATGACAGCAGCATGTTATTTAACTGACTAAGGTTTCTATCATTACATTTAATTTGATTGGTTCCTGCTCCCGGTGGTTGGAATCTTTATTCCACTCTGTATTCTTGTGAGTGTAGTCTTTGTTCGCTTTAACTTTTAAAAAAAGAAATAAATAAACAAACAGTTTTGAAAACCTCGGTATTCATTCTTTTCCTGCTTTGTGTGTCAACTTTCACGGTTGCTAAGCAACAGAGCATACGGCGGTAAAACCCGCTGAAGGGTAGACCTGGTCGAATTCACAGCCTAAACTCTTCCGGTCTCCTTATTTTCAAGGACTTCGAAGGATCCAGTCTAGGTAGACCGCGTCCTTGGAGGATGCAGCCCAGGATTTCGAACAGCGCCTCTGATTAAGAACAGGGCTGCCCGCACTGACGCGGCTCAGGGATTACGTCACACGCAGCGTCGAAAAAATCAGGGCATTTCCTCACTTTCTAAAAAAAAACCCGGGACGCCCGGGACAGGACATGAAATACGGACGTTTGGTCACCCTAGTGTAGACGCAGTGTTAAATCACTACAGTTATACACCAGTAACACCTATCAAACCGTGAAGATGTCAGTATCCTGCCACATTAGCTGATAACATAATAGCTGCAATAAATTGGATTGTATAAACTTCATGCTTTTCATTCAACATGAGTCATTGTTTTCACTAATCCTTAGAGACTTTATTTGTTGACCTGTATCAAATCCATCTCACAGCAAAGCTGTTCAGGCTAATAAATCTGCACAGCAGCATCCATATTGTAATTTGCCTCGTCCATAAATTTGCCTTAATATTCATACTAATGAAAATCTCTGAGGTGAAAGGAAACATGAGATAAAGGTCATTTGTCCTTTACACTTGAGTGGGTACTCAGCTTTGTTGCTATAGTGATGGCTCAGTGCATTTACACTTATTCTCAGTTACCTATTGGAAAATAAACAGAGATGTTTTAGAAGCCTTGTCTTGAGTCATTTATTTTACCTATAGAAAAATTGTAACTAATTATTCTAATGTTTATTTGACTGGTTCTGACATTTTTATGTCTTTCTCAAATGTTTAAAACCATTAATAATATTTTAGTACCAGATGAACAAAATCTCGGTTAGGTTTTTCAATATTGCCACTCAACCTGTTAACATCACAGAAAGAGAAACTTAGGGACAACATGAAGTAGGCTCAAAGATTTAAAAAAACATGACACATCATATATTGATTTAAAAACATAAAGGTGGCCAGATTAGAAACAGAGTCATTAGTATGAGTCATCCTGGAAAGGCTACAAGGCTATTTCAAAGGCTTTGGGATACCAGTTAATCACTGGGAGAGCCATTAATCAGAGGTGAACCTTCCCCCCCAATCAATGGGTGGCCGACCAAAATAATTCCAATAGTATATTGATGACTCCTGCAGGAGGTTACAATAAATCCAGCATCACATCTGAAAGAATGTAGACCTAGCTTGTTCCAGTAATGGTCTGTATTTGACTTAACAGTGATCAGTAAGGCCATAGCAGCACTCTCCAGAAAGCATCACAAAGACCCATTTCACAGTTTCCAATAAACATCTTGATCAAACGGAATATCCAATATTCTAGAGGAAATTTTCCCCACAGTGAAACACGGCGGTGGTAGTGTCAAACTTGGAGGGACCTCCTTGATTGATGGAACAATAAATTCTGGCCTCTCCCAGAAGGTCCTCAATGAAAGTCAGGGTCCATCTTGTAGCATTCTGGCTCTGGGGCAGGACAAGGATCTACAGCAAATCACCTAATCCACTTCTGCCTGGAATGAGCAATAACCTGAGATATAAATAAAAGCAGATTAGAGCTCTTTACCTGACTATTTTTCTGTGCTAAAGGCTAAATGCTTGGAGCTACTGTACATTGGCTATTAGCCTGTACCTACAAAAATTGTTTTTATCAGACTATCTACAAAAACAGGTTTCATTGGGTATTATTTAAAAAAAAATCATCATCATTAAAACAACAGAAATTTCAAATTTCTTATTATTAGGCTTATATTCTCACCTGTCCTCACTGCTGCAGTCTAAAGGCTTGTGGCTTTTGTGTGGGGGGGGGGGGGATTCAGCATATATTGTGATTTATAGTTGTTGAGTAAATTACCTTTTATCTATGTTTATGTATAACACAGACATTCAAGAGATGTGCTGAGTTGGTGTTGTATTTTATTAAAAGTTTATCTTAAATGTCAATATTAGCACATTCCAAGTTTTTAACTTACTGATTATCTCTATTAATAATCTTAGAGATATAATAGTCATCCCATTCCAGCTACAAGTCATATAACATTATATAAGCTGCAAGTTATTGGTTCTTTCTTTCTGGGCTACAAGAGCATTTAATATTTCACAAGAACTTAAAGGTCTGTACCACTGCAGCACACTCACTTCAATTTGTCTTGGAGTCAAACACAAAAGTTCTGCAGAAGATATACGTATGTCAGGATATGTTTAAGACCAAACTTTCTAGGTCTGACAGTTTTCTCAAACTGTTTGTGATGCATATTTTGAAATGTATTCTTGTCTGAAGTCCAAAAAAGGAAGAGTGTGCTGCAGAGGGAGAAACCTATGAATAAATCCTGGGAATTCTGCACTTGAGTTATTGTTAAGTATGAAAACTACCAACAACAACATTGTTCTAGCGTTTGCTGCTTTGAGAAAAACAAAAAGAAAACTGTCCGTTTTTGCAGAGCTTTAGGTCTGTTTGTATCATCGGCTATTTGCTTGAGTTTTATAAGCAATAATACTTGCCTAACAAAAGAACGTGTGATCATTTTCTCCCTTGTCCTCACTGTTACGTGTAAAAAGGCTGACGATTGGGTATTATAACCAAATCTTAAAATAAAACTAAAGATTTTTCAAATTAGTTGCTAGTTTAGAATTCAGCAAGAACTGACATTGGATGCGTTTAGTTTTGAAGAAACAATCATTGATAAACTGCTGCTCGCCTGCAGGTTGCTCAGACCTTTTACATCACCATAAAACCAGTGGACGACTCGCTGCCGCTGCTCCAGGTCCCCGGCATGAGAGTCCAAGAAGGTGTGAGGAAGACCATCACTGAATTTGAACTCAAAGCCACTGATGAAGATACAGAGGTAAAAAGATGGTTTTAAATATTGTAAATATATATATTTAGAAATGTTTATTTAGAAAGGTCAATTTACCAAATGCTTGTTTTTATTAACTATGAATTAATTGAAAAAAAAATCTTTACATTAAATAATTACCAATATAATCGATAAAACAAACTGATCTGATTTCTGAGCTGTACTTTAAGTTATTATTTTAGAAAATCTCGGTAGCCCTGTGGGATTAACAAGTGAATCTCCTAAATAAAATCTATTAATCCCACATAAATAAATTATAAAAGTAATTAAAAACATCTGGAAGTCAGATTAAAATGGTATTAGATTGAACTGTTATGTAGAGGTATAGATACTGTGTGATGAAAGATCATTCTCAATATTATGCATCCATCTTCTCCAACTTAGTCCTGTCAGGGTCATGGTGGGGCGTTGCCTAGCTCCGGCAGTCTATGGGCGAGAGGCGGGGTAGAGCTTGGACAGGTCGCCAGTCTGTTGCAGGACAACATAGAGACACACAACCATGCACACACACACACACACACTTACACCTAAGGAAGACTCCGGGCCAGGAATCTAACCCAGAACATTCTTACTGCAAGGCAATATTGGTACCCAGTGCAGCACTGTGCAGCCCTGCAATATTATCATTTAAAAAAAAAATTTACTTAATTAATTTTCTGTTTTTAATTATTTTTCATTTTATTCTCTGTTTGTTATGATGAACACTTAACATTCCGAGTCCCCACATTAATTCCATGCTTTTTTGCAGCAGTTGTATGCTATGCTAACAGGGTAGGCTTGTTTTGACGTCCAAACCTCGCCATATTGGAAGCTTTCATTTGATTCAAACCTCCTTAATCTGTAATCCATTTTCATTTGAGTGAAAATAGCAGAAAAATGATGCTCTCATCATGCAAGCGTCATATGATGCTCTAATCATGCGTGCGGGATGTGATGCTCCTGTGTGTTATTTTATTCAGGGTGAGAGTAAATATTAAATAGATCTTTATTTTTACTATTTATTTTTTTTAATTCAGGACTTAAATGTATACCTCTACTTAACTTAGCACAAAGTGTGTCCTATTTTTTTTACATGACAGAAACGCCACAAATCAGGCATCAGTGTCATTTCTACATCGCACATCGTAGCATTTCAATATTAAAAACCTATTCTTATGTCTTTTTTTCCCTACAAAAACCTTAACTTCTAGCCCGAGTACATAATCTTCACCGTCGTCCAGCCTCCTCGCCACGGGACCATCGAACGCACTAGCAATGGCCGGCACTACCGGCAGACCAGTACCTTCACCATGGAGGATATCTACCAGAACCGCATCAGCTACAACCACGACGGCTCCAACTCGCTCAAAGACCGCTTCACCTTCACCGTGGCGGACGGAACCAATGACTTCTTCATGGTGGAGGAAGCAAACAAGGAGGTGAGTGTTACTGTGGTAAAGCTTTATTCCCATTTGATCTGAGATGCATGATTCAAGCGAGATCCTGCTGTGTTTGTGGGTTTTTGCATATAAAGCCTGGTTGGTAGGTGTTTTTATCACTTTATGGGGGGGGGGGAAAGGTAGAATTAATTTGTATAGGTTTAACAAGAAAGTCAGTTTTATAATTATATAAGATTTTTTTATGAAGCAGCTTTGAAAAGAAAGACAAGCTCTACTTTGCAGGATTGTTTTAAATCAGCCACAAGCAGGGGGATTAAAAATGATAAACATGCATTTTTAAGGGTATACCACAGCAACATTGAACTGATTGAATGTTCTACTTTGACTAGACCATTATAAAATCTTAATCATGTTACGAATCCCTCCCTAGGTGGACTTGCTTCTGTTCTATGAATGGTCCTGCTGCATCGCTTAAGTGTTTTTAAAAGTCCCAAACAGATTAGAAATTCCTTGACCTATTAATTACAGCAACTGAAGGAGCAAAGCAGCTGTGGGAGATGACATCAGCAACACTATTTATTGATCTCAGAGTGGTATTTTATAGGCTATGTAAGTCAGATCTTTGTCTGGTCAGCAGTAGTTTTAGCCCTGGAAGTCTCCAAGGTAGGCCCTTTCTGCACATTCCCCCTGTCTTATTGTTAAATCATAAATTCTAAGACCAATAAGGCCTGCAGTTGTTCAGATCTTAATCTGGGTTATTTTATGTCGTCCTTTATGAGTCTTTGATGGGCTTATGCAGCATTTATGGTAGGAGAGTCTCTCAGCAGGTCCACCACTGGTTCTCTGCAGTGGTTTCCAGACAGAAGGATGTCAGTTACTTTGTTTATTATCTGCCATTGATTTTATTTAGATCAGAATATCATTAGTTTCTTTTTAACATATTTTAACTTCCTTTGTTTTGTGGCTGTATTTACTGCAGTGATTCTAAATCCCTGGAAGCAAAGTATTTATTCAGGGATTTCATGGTATAAAAGCTATTGATTTATGCTTAGCTTTATTAGTTTTTATAAATTAATATTAAAGTCATTATGATCTGAAACATTTAAGAGAGACACCAAAAGCATAAGAAATCTGTTATGGGGCAGGCATGATTTTTACAGTACTGTCAAATATTACTGCTACTGACAGTTTAGAAGCAGATTCACCCCTTTATTTCTGAATACCTCTGGTTTGATCTACAGCATGTTTAAGCCATCAGTTTCTTACTTAATAATTTCTTAAAACCCCACAGAATCAACTAGAACTTTGTGAGATTCGAAGCTGAACTCGGCACATTGTGTGAACATGGTAGAGAAATCTAACTGCAATTTTAACCGCATTTAGCTTTCATGTTTACACATGTTTCAGTCTTTAAGAGTGAAACTATTAAAGGTATAGTGGAGGATGTTCTTTTTCCGGGTGGATCATCAAAATAAGTGGTCCTCCTAATTGTCAATCATTTCGATGATATGTTTAGGTAATGCTGTCCTACGTATTTCGCCCCATTTCGAGTGTTGGCCCAGAGGTTAGAGCAGTGCGCTTGTGCTCTGAGAAGGTAGCACATACCCGGTTCGATCCCCACAGCCTCCACTCTGGGTCCCTGAGCAAGACCCTTAACCCCACATTGCTCCCCGGGTGCCACACAATGGCAGCCCGCTGTTCCCTAAGGGTTCAATGGGTTCAATGCAGAGTTACATTTCTCCATTGTGGTACAATAAAGGGATTTACATTTAATTTTCACTTACTGGTGGTGATTCTGAAATACTGGAAAAAATTGCAAATCTTCTTTTGGAAAGTAAGCTTGTATGAGAGATGCAATTAGTTTTTTGGGGGTATTTTGTTAGGTTTTTGCAGCACTAGTGGCTTGCCACTGTACAGTAGTCTGACATGAAAGGGGCACAAGAAAGAGGGAGAGACGTGCAGCAAAGGACCACAAGACCGGACCCAAACCCGGGTTGGCCACGCCGAGGACCAAGGCCTCCACACATGGGTCGCGCACACCAACACCACAAACAGCAACTTTTAAACAGAGCATGCACAAGGAGAAATGGGCTTGTGAATGCTCTTGCATGCGTTTAATAGGCATTCCCTCTTGGGAATGTGCATTTTTTTTTTGAAGTCTCCAAAAATCGGCGAACATCCTCCACTATACCTTTAAGTCACACTAAAATAAACAAATTCACAACTGAATGTTGAAAAAGAGAGAACACGGGTCAATATGAAAAGTTTTCCAAATGTTTAATTTACTGACAGACAAACAATATGAAGCAAGGTGAAAATTGATTTATGGAGTCATAGAAACACAGAGCGAGACATCAAGATGCCTTAGGGGAATGGCTCTGAATAAAGATTTGTCAGGAGTATGAGGGACCTCAACAGATTAATCATCTTTTATTGTACTAGTGCCAATATCTCTGAGTGACCGATGAGTTCTGTAGTGTGCAGGAAGTGCTAAAAGGAAGATCTAGGTTCTTTGTATTGTTCTTATTTGCTTCACAAACAATCATGATTTTAAAAGAAGTACTTTTTTTCCATGTATAAGGATAAAAAAAGCTTCTGAAATCTAAAAACTTCAATCTAACCTCAGCTGTTCAAACCCCAGGCAGATCCCTCAGTACATTTTTATTGAATTTCCATGAAGCTAAGAAAGAAATGCTTTGGTAAAAAAAATAAATAAAAAAAACATGCAAACTTTCTGCTTCAAGGAGATAGAAACATCCAGGAGCTGCTGATGAAATGCATAACCGACCGTGGTCTTTATCAGCACCTCTATAAATTTGGGAGGTTTTGTCCGTTTTCTGGTCTGAAGCAGACGTCTGTGTTTAACACAGTGTAATAGAGCGGTGGTTTTTATATCCAGTCCTGGAGAGCAACTTTAGATTCATCCCTCCAACAATGTAGCTGAATCAAGTGATTTTATCGCTATCCGGCTTCTGGAGAGGTGAATAACTGAATGCTGATGAGGGATTAAAGCCTTTTGATACAGGAATGTTGAATTACTTCTAAAAGATACAGGATAGTAGCTCAGGAGGACCAAACCTGGACACCCCTGTCATCATAACAGCTATAAAAGAATTTAAACAACATTAAAGATCATGTCCAAACAATTTGTATTTATGCAATGCTTAAAATAGCTCAACAAGCAAGAGCTCTATTTCAAACTCAGCCCTCAGGTAATATACTAGATGTTAAGGTTCATAACAGGATGAAATAAGCAGGCAGTAAAGGAGAAACCACCTTCTCTCTTATAAGGATATTGATTTTGGTAAACAGAGATGTATCACAATAAAGCTGCAACTAATAATTATTTTTTTAAATTTGACTAATTTATAGATTTTTTTTTATTAGTCAACTAGTCATGGTTGTTTAATTTCCATTTTCTCATTGCTTGATAAAATATCTCAACTCAGTTGGTCTCTTCTACTATACTTTGCATGTCTCTTTATTACATTTTGTTTGCGACTATCATCTAAAACCACTATAATTGATATCTGTTTGAAAAAAATATATAAAAAGTTTTTATTTTTAACTTTTGACCCTATAGCTCTTAAAAATGCCTAATGTTTACAAGGATTTTAATTGCAGGATAAAAAGGGAAGCATATTGACGTGTTTCACCATCTCCTTTATGAAGAAATGTTACCACCCTCAACACCCAGGAATAAATATGAAAAAAATATTCACTTCCAAATAAACTTTGCAGCTTTCCTCTAAGCAGAAAGGACTTTTCTAATGATACTGCCACCTGTGGCTAAAACACAGAACTGCAGCTAACTTATCATAATTCTTATAGCTCACACTTGTATTTATTTATGATTTCTTTAACTTTTTGACCTTATGTTGAGTTTCGATTAGTTTTGTATAGATTTTTTCTAGGTTGGACCCATTCAACATAGACAAGCTTGATGTGACATCCGCCAAACAGCGTGAAAAGTTCCAACCGAAGTAAATTTATGAAAATAGGCAACCGGTTTATAGATACATAGGCGCTGAACTACTGAGGTGTCATTCTGTTCATCAAAAACTGTTTTAGTCATAAAGGGTCAAAAAAGACTATTTTAAAGATATTTTTCAGTTAGAACCTACATAATGTCTTTTTAAGGAGAATACATTTATCCTATCAAGCACCTTTACATTAATCTCAGCCATATACCTATGTAACAATCGAAACACTGAATTAAGCTAAACATTACCCGTTAGATATATACTCTGACTAAATTATAAATGTGTTTCATTTCTCATGGGCTATGTTCCCACTGCAGCCTGAAACAACCCAAATCCCTTTTTTTTTTTTGCCCATATGCGACCTGTATCTGATCTATTCATAACGGTCTGACCAACAAAGATCCGATTTTTTCAAATGCGACCCAGGCCACTTGACTATGTGTCCTGAACCCGATACATATCTGATATTCTCAAATGCGACCTGCATCTGAACGGCCAGTTCAAATTCATCCCACCTGAACGTCATTATTACTTAACAAAGGTCCCTATTCTTCATCTTGCGACACAAAAGCAGGTAGAAAGACAACCATGGTGATTGATAATTTGGAGAAAAGAAAGATGTATTGTTAATTAATTGGCTCTCACTGGAAAAAATAATGAAAGATCTCTAGATGCACTTAAGCACTATCACCCTTCATTGCATCATTGCATCCTCTACTGTGCATGCAGGACAGTTAAGTTGTATAAATGCAGTTCACACGGAAGATCAAATAGAAGTCGCATATATTTGGAAATTTATACAACCATGCAATCGAATTTCACAAAAAAAAAAAAAAAACTTAATTCAGCTTTAAGGCCTGCATTGTGAATGTATCTTTAGTCGTGAAGCTAGGCAAGATTTCCAGGGAGAATCCTTTCCCTCCAAGTTTGGCTTTGACAGCTAGCTGGAAACTAACAGCAGAATGAAAGCACTGATGTACTTTGTAGCTCAGCCATATCATGATAACTAAGCAGGTATTTTTTTGTTCTTGTTTGACATATTCCTGAAAATTTAGT